GTTTTTCTTCATTACCCATTCAAGCCGTCTCCAGCCATTATTAGTCTCAAAGTGGGTTCCTCGTCATCGAATTTAAGTGTATGAACGTTTTCCACTACCATTATATAGAAAAGTGAACTTTACTACAAACCGAATAGAAATCCCATGAACAAATACTAACTGTTGTCTATTTCAATCCAACTTAAACGGATACTAACGTGTGGTACTGGATCTCAATATAATAGAAGACTGGAGAATTATTTTGACTGTATATGCAAAAATAAAGTCTTGGAAAATATATCACAATAGTCCGACAATTTAAATTAGAACAAACTATAATTATATTATATTTCTGTTCTGCATACAATCAGTACAATTTCATTATAATGTGATCGCACTAATATATTGTGGTTAAAATGAAATAATTATTTTTATACTGCTACCCGAGGATGAAGAACAGGGATATATGATAAGTAATGGTGGTTGGTCAGAATGGCGTAGAATGAGTCTCGTAAGCACCTTAGTCCTCATATAATATTATTTAGTTGTAGTGAAATACACATTAGTCCTCATATAATGTTATTTAGTTGTAGTGAAATACACTTTAGTCCTCATATACTATTATTTAGTTGAAGTGAAATACACCTTAGTCCTCATATAATATTATTTAGTTGTAGTGAAATAAACCTTAGTCCTCATATAACAGTATTTATTTGTAGTGAAATACACTTTAGTCCTCATATAATATTATTTAGTTGTAGTGAAGTACACCTTAGTCCTCATATAATATTATCTAGTTGTAGTGAAATAAACCTTAGTCCTCATATAACAGTATTTATTTGTAGTGAAGTACACATTAGTCCTCATATAATATTATTTAGTTGTAGTGTAGAGGATTTTTTGCTCGGTTTATTAGACAAGCGTTTACATTTTGCTAAAAATAGTTATACTTATTAGTAGAATAAAAGTTAATATCAGATATCAATAATCATGTAAATAGAATAATGCCTAAGTAGGGCATCTCATAATTGACTAATCTTTTGCGTACGTTAAAGTAATAAGATATTCAGTTCATCACTGTTACAGAAACCATGAGATTTTTGTGTATTTTTATTTACGGCAGTAAGAGGGTGACGTTCGATAAACAGATGATTGCTCATGTTACTGTAATTCATATAGTGTAACGATTCGTGTAATTACATCTATCTACCCGATTCTGCTTTCTTCTAGATAATAATAATAATACATGAAAATACGTACATATTTATCATTTTAATGGCTTGGCTGAAAAACTGAACACATCATAAAAATATGCTGTTATTTTTACTTACCAGTATCGGGCTACTTTATCATATTGTTTAGTATGACCGATAGTCCAGCTTTTGTGTCAACAATTTAAAAGCTTTCTGTTTTCTTCACAGTCCTGTTGTACAAAGGAGATTGTCGAAACACTAGGAGAAAATATATGTTATACAAGAAACCTAAAACTGATAGAACACAATACTATAGTCTGTCAAGTAAGTGTTCTTAGTAGAGAATATATAGTAGACGCGTTCACCGTTCATTGGCTATTCTGCTATATCACTTTGCGTCAAGTCATTCATTAGCTGGGTTGTGATTTCTTAGAGATACTCTGTAAAACTTTAAAGGCGAGCTCGTCTTGGCAAATTCGGTTCCTTTCTCTTGAAAAGTAAATTATAAACAGTCATGGATTTTTCACGTAGCTCTCAGCGACTTTTTTTTTTTTTAGCTCGTTCCCAAATGCTTCCTGATTGGACGTCATTCGTGTTTCGAGTACTTCTGCCTATATTAAGATAACAGATAGCATCCAGAAAGAGGAGGAGTCAAAATCACTTTGGAAATTAATCAAAATCAAACACCTGTTGCTGTGTAACGACATATATCATACTCAGTACAAACTGAAGCATTCTGTGTCAACTCAAACGTTTCTTCACTAGTAGTGTTTGGTTTCCTCTAACTGACATACTAGTGCACTAAATTTTATATACTCCAACATAAATGCAGTAACTAGCTGTACCACATTCAAGCTATTGTAATAATTTACGAAGCTAATTAAACTTGAAATTTTACACATACCTTAGGAACTATCATCTGTTGTAAGTGATGGACTTAAACGTTTAAATCCACAGACTGTAATAGTTACTATACCATATATAATGTATATTGATAAATCGTTTGCCTATCTCGCTATTGAAAAGTGTTTACAAAATAAATAACCTCAATGGAAAGTTATGTTATTGTTATTAGCTGTAACCCTAAATAAAAAAAAGAACAACGAACACAGTAATAAATATCTTCAGCTGTCATAAGCGATAATAAACTACAAAAGTAATAATTTCAAGTTAATTTGAAAAATTGCGGTGATTAAATAATATTTTTCTAAACATCTCTGCTGTACTCATCACCGCCTCCTGGCGGAAAGCTAAAGACAAGAAAATGTCTATCATTTTTATTTTAGATGGCGTATTTTGTAGTTATTCTAAAATCATTACATTGCCTATCACGAGACACAAAAGATATGAGAATATAAAAAGTTATACTTATTATTCCTCTAATTTTATATTGACCTGGCGCGAGGGCCCATGGTTCACGTCTCAATGTGCGATATAAAAGTAGCAGTCAGATGTTGTTAGTCGATTAGAATAGTCAAGGAGTTGTGATGTTAATTAACTGATTTACCTAAATGTTATCAGTTCAAAATCAGGGAAGACTAGCGCTGTTAGCCCTTGTGTAGCTTAGCGCAAATATTCGAAACCAGCCTTCTTCGGTGGCTCAGTGATGAGTCAGAGCGTTAAAAATCTGGTTTCGATACCCGCGTTAAGCAGTAAACAGAGAACCCATCGTGTAGCTTTATAGCTTTGTACTTAACATTCGAGACAAAAATGTTTTCATTTTCATATAATCAAGTTGTAGAAATTAAATAATAGTAATAGTCCTTGATCAAGTTCTCTAGGGCATAAAATATAACATTATGTAATTTTAAAGTGTTTTTGGCTTGAAAGGTTGATGTTTTGTCCAATATTATTAATAAAGAGATATTTGAAGTTTATTTCATTATATTCATTTGGGATTTTCGAAGAGAGAATAGTTATGGATTTCAAACTTTCGTTAATATATATCCAGTTCATTAATAAATACACAGACAAATAAATATATGACTAAAAATGAATCCACATATCTGGATGTACATTTCTTAAATTAACTTGAGCTTACATTGTTTACCCATTTTATTTTCTCTCGAACTCAAGGGACTCGTATAATTTCCGTTGGTTTGAACCCATATTTTTCTCACGTTTCTCTGCCTTCTTCTTTTATTTCTTTGAACATTAAATTTTGTTTTCTCAATCTATTTTACATCCATTTGTACTTTACTCTGCTCATTATCTGCTCTCATTTATGCTTCTTTATTTTTTCTAATCTTTCTTTATGTTATTTTTTCAGCCCCCCCCCCCCGTAGCACAGCGGTATATCTGCGGACTTAGAAGGCTAGAAACCGGGTTTCGATATCCGTGGTGGGCAGAGCACAGATATCCAATTGTGTAGCTTTGTGCTAAATTTCAAACAACCAAATCTTCCCTTGTATCTCTTTCAGTTTTTTTTATATTTTATTCTATGTTTTAATGCACTAATTTTTTTTTCAAATTAACTTATTTCTTCTGTTTTTTATTGCATTTTCTTCTCTAATTCGTATTGTTTTCTTAAAAGTTGTTGTTCTTACACAGTCAGTTATTGTGCTTATACAAACTACAGTCTCCACATGCTCAGTCCGGATTGCTGTTCAATTAGGCTTATGGCCTATTTTATTTGTTAAGTATATCACTCCATTTTCTTAACTTTTTATCTCTCTCAAGTAATCCCTACTTATTCATAAACACTTCATACATGCTCTTCATCAGTATCTCAATTTCCAAGAGCTAGCTATCTCTTCTTTTCCTCACTGTTACCAATAGTTTAATGACTGAAGAATAATATTTGATAGAATCAACATGAGATGGTTCCAAGAAGGTGTACTTAAAAACAACGTGTTCCATATAAGTTACTTTATGTTTACCTTAAAGTTGTGGCACTTGAAAAATTGCATATTGTGTCTCTATTTTAACTTAGAAATATGAAAAGTTTTAGTTCGTCAGAATGTACAAACTTACACACATTCAGCACAGATATTGTGTTTTATGTACAGTTAAACGAGTTAGTGTGTATTGCAACCTTATTCTCGCGCTAGTCACACATAGTTAAGGATCATTCTCTCTTTTGTGTATTTCTGAACTTTCCCACTAAAGGTGTCGCTGGAATACTCCTTTGCTTTACATCAATGCGTTATATAGTGGTATTATTAGTAGTGTAAAAGTTTAGGGATAACTATAGGTTTTATCTTATTGAACGACCAAGTGACGTGAGTGGTAAACGCATGCATTCTATCGTTTAGTTCTCTCAGTCTAGATAAAAATTTCGGATATGTTTATAAGATAGAACTCTCATGAATGAGAAGGAATTGCTGTCCAAAATATTGTGGACTCGTTAACTGTAAAGAGTTGTATACTTGTCTTGTAATAAGATTAAATAAAGTGTCTGTTTACACAGCGTGTTACATTGTATCCAATTTCTTTTCCTCAGTTCAGAAAATCTATAAATTCAATTTAGCACGACAATACATTTTGGGTCATATCTCCAGATAATATGGTTACTTTACTTACCTGATAGTTATTAGTATGAGTAAGAATACCCTAAGGTTATTCATATAGTATTCAGGATTACCCTTACCGGTTTAGATCGTTTTTTGAAAAGTGGGTTCATGTTTTCGGGACTATTATGTTGGAAGTTTCGGCTCGTTGTTTTATATATACATATTTAATGCAGAAACATTGTGTTAGTAAAACATGTGCATAATGTCGTTCTAAACACAAAAATGGCATTTAATCACCGTTGTGTAAGAATATCTGATTTAACAGGTTTAATAATCCGTAAGAAGGTTCACTGGTTTATTGCAGCAATATTGCTGAATTAATACTAATGCTAGAAGCTGCAGTCTATGAACTAAGTGAGTTGCGATTGTTCATTGACTCCTCCAAGAGAAGTCTAAAAGGTGTTCTCCTTCACATTCGTAACATATATGCATCTGTTCCTATTGCTTATTCGGTTCACTTGAAGGAAACTTACGAAAATCTAGAACTTCTATTTAATGAGGTGAAATTCATAGAATGTGGTTGGCTACTTTGTGGAGACTTAAAAGTGCTTTGTGTGTTGTTGGGTCAACAATCCGGTTATACAAAGTTTCCATGTTTTTTGTGTGGATGGGACAGCAGAGCATGAAATCAGCACTGGATAAAGAAGCAATGGCCACGCAGAGTCAGTCTGATACCAGGTTCAAAAAACATTGAACGTGAAAGTTTGGTTGACACAAAGAAAGTCCTATCACCTCCACTTCACATAAACTGAGCTTGATGAAGCAGTTGTTAAGCACAAAGCTACACAAGGGAATATCTGTGCTGTGCCAACTACGGGCATCGAAACCCTGTTTTTAGAGTTATAAGACTTTCTTTAGAGATTGGAAGAAATTATACCTTGTATTTTGTGGATAATGAAACTTAACAAATTTAGATATAACTTTGTAAAATATTGAACGCACTATAGAAATAAAACTACTGAATATACTATAGAAATAAACTTTCAACCAGATATAGCTCATGATTTTTGCGTTAAAGATGAACAGGTGTTTATTTTGAAATATTTTACCTTTGGAATGTAAAGCACGAATTTCTTTGAAAAATAACCATATTTCGTTTTCGAACTGTTTGTTGATGATTCGGTAGAAACCGAATTGAAAACCATCTGCTCTGGGAAGGAATTTCTACAAGTTTTACAAGTAAATGAAGAAACTCATGTGAAAAAGTAAAAATATTTTGTTTTGTTAAAAGCATCTAATGAAATCCCATTCAGTCAATGTTTTCCAGTATTTTATGAAATAAACTATGGTCTGTGATCAGTAATGTGACTATTGAAAACGACACAAATAATTTCCCTTTCTGAAATCCTTGTTTGAAGCTGACGCTCGTGAAATAAAAATAATAATTTCATATTATCCTGTAACAACCTGCTAACTAACGAAAACTACAACCTGAATCTTGGGTGAAAAACTAATTTTAGAATGGAGAAAGCTGCTTTGCCAGAAGGTTTTCCAAATAATGTGACGTTTTTTTCCAGGTCAAAATAATGTCTATTTTGAGATTTCTCGGATAACATATGTGATTTCAAATCACATGACGTGAAAAAGAATAGCATAGCACATTCAAAGCTCGACGACTGGGGGAAAAGACTATATGAAACGTAAACAATAGTAGCACTTCAGTCACTGCTGTATAATGGCTAAGAGAATTTATTCTCTTTCAGCTGTTATTTCAAGATTGATCTTT